TTTTTGAGAGAGAGAGAGAGAGAGAGAAGGGGGTGTTGGGGAGGGGAGGGCAGGGAGAGAGGGAGGGAGAGAGAATCCCAAGCAGGCTCCGCACTGCTAGTGGGGAGCCTGATGTGGGGCTTGATCCCACAAACTGCAAGGTCATGACCTGAGCCGACATCAAGAATCAGATGTTCAACTGACTGAGCCACCCAGGCGCCCCTAGTCCATTCTTAATATGCAGTGATCAGATAGCACATAGGGTCCAGATTTTGTACAAGGACACAAAGAGGATAAAATGAAAGCAAACGCTCTTGACTCCTCTGCTTTGGTTACTTTTCTAAAATCACATTCCTTGCACAGATGCCACAGAGCATAAATGTTCAGGGGTCTGTGGTGGACACAACACAGTAGTGCCTTCAGGTGGGGACAAGTACAGATGTTTTCAATCCAGCCAAGCACGTGGCCAAGTACCATGTGAGAGCTACAAAGTACTTAAGGCTTTTAGGGGAGAGAGGAGAGCCTTGTGGGAGCAGAATAATCTCTCCTGACTTGTAGACTTTATCTTTCTTGGCCATAATTTTCATCAATGATAGGCTTTGAGCCTGCAGCTTCTCTGACTTCTCAAAGGCCTCAGGGTATCTGTAAGTTACCTATTTCATTATGTACACTTTGAATTTATTTATTTTTAAATTTTTTTATGTTTGTTTATTTCTGAGACAGAGACAGAGCATGAGTGGGGGGAGGGGCAGAGAGAGAGGGAGACACAGAATCTGAAGCAGGCCCCAGGCTCTGAGCTGTCAGCACAGAGCCCGACGTAGGGTTTGAACTCACAAACCATGAGATCATGACCTGAGCCAAAGTCGGTCACTCAACCGACTGAGCCACCCAGGCGCCCCTACGCTTTGAATTTAAACTAGCCCCTGGTACATAGCACTGTTTACCATTTCCCATCCAGGTAGGCGTTCTTTAATCCTCACGGTCTATTTCTGTGTCTCTGTGGATTCTCTGGCAAAATTGTATACTAGGGGACTGAATTCATGGTTCTAGACCAGGAGTGCTCACGTTTTTCTACGTTTAATACATTAGTTGACATTCACTTTCGAGAGACACACAGGCTGTTGTGTAACTCAATTTTGATGAGATGCTTACGCAAAGGTAAAGGCAATACTGCTACAAAGTTGTTTTCTGGTATAGAACTCAAAAGCATTTTGTAAGCATGTCAGAAATGAAATTAGCCATTTATAAATCTAAAAAAATTTTTAGTAAGAAAAAAGATAACATGGTTTTTCTATGTTTTAAAATGTCAGTGTTACATTAAAAAATAAATTCACCCCTCCAGTGCAAACCAAGTCATGATACTAGGCAAGCTTTATACTCTCACCGTGAGCATTTTATGAGGAACCATGTTTTATTCTTTGTATATCCCAGGACCCTTCACCTAGTAGGTATCACTGAATGCTTGATGGCCTATATTACTCTTAAACTAATGGTGACTTGTCCCCTAGCTTTGAAAGAAAGACTTTTTAAGACAAAAATTAGAATAATATAATGAACAAACCAGATTGAACTGACATTTTGCCATATTTGATCTTTTTTCTATATAACATATTTTTTCCCTGCACTAGTTAAGTTATTGACATTTCAAGAGTTCACTCCTAAAAACTCCAGCCCATCCTACAGCCCCTCCTAATATGTCCACAGGAGTTAGTATTTCTGTATTTTATATAAGGTTCTGGGTAACAGGATCTTCTTGGTCAAGTAGATTGTTTTGGGTTTTTTTTCCAAATAAGATTAGTTTCTCCTGGTTTTAAGGATCTTACTGACACAAATAGAAGATAAAGGAGGCTAAGAAAAAGAATCAGCTGCTGTCGCAAATGTACATTTACTATTTATACATGATACATATGATAGAGAAAAAAGTGTAATAGGAAGTTTCAGGGCTGGCACTTAGGGATTGTGAATTGTGATTGTACGATGGTTGGCAAGGTGACAAAAAAGGGGAAGACCTTTGCAGGCACAAAAAACTAGTGCAGAAGCCCTGAAAGTGTGCGTGTGTCCAACAGGTTCAAGGTGTGGGAAGGAGGCAGATGTGCCTGGGGTAGAACGAGCAAGAGGTGAGATCAGAGGTAGTGAATGGCTACATCATTTATGTGAAGGACTTTAGCATTTATTCCAGTATATGAGGAGTAATGAGAGGATTTTGAGCAGAGGTAGGTCAAGATCTGAGTTACATTTACAAGAACCTCTCTGGGTGATCAATTCTGTAAAAGTGGCAGGAGTGGAAACAAGGGAAGGCAATTACAATGCTATTGAAATTGCAATAAACTGAAGAAAGTTGTTGATGTAGCAGTTAAGGTGGTTAAAATGTGGTTCCATGTTAGGATTTGAGGTGTCCTCTCCACCCAAGATTGGAACTTCTTGAGAAATGTGGGAGTCAGGTTGATGGAGATCAAGTTAAGATTACGAATGAAACTCACTGGAGAATGTGGCTTCAGAGCTGTGGCCAGGTGAGCTCACTAATACTCCACCTCCGAACTACTAGACTCACTCTATCACTGGCTGAGCAGAGAGAAGACCAGGACACCCTCTCTGCTGGCAGAGTCCACAGAAAAAAAAAATACAGGGGTCTGGGCCATGGGTGCCTCGTTCTCCTCCAAAGATAATTTCAGAAAATCATTCTTCCTCCAATGGGTATAGAGAGAGGCCAGGAGCATCACTATTGGAAGTGCTCCCCCTTGGAATAAGAGAATGGGGAGGGGCACCTGAGTGGCTCAGTCGGTAAGTGTCTGATTCTTGGTTTCAGCTCAGGTCATGTACTCAAAAGTTTGTGAGTTTGAACCCTGCATTGGATTCTGTGCTGACAGCAAGGAGCCTGCTTGCTTGCTCGCTCGCTCTCTCTCAAAATAAATAAATAAACTTAAAAAAAAAAAAGAGAATGGGGAATACATGTTCCTCCCATCACCACTATCTTATGACTTTATTTCCATGCTAAAAGATAAAACAATCCTTAAATCACACACACACACACACACACACACACACACACAGCTCATGGCAACAACATATATTTTTGGCTTTAGTTTATAATATAAAAATAGAGTATTTTTATTTTATTTTATTTTTTATGAAATTTATTGTCAAATGGTTTCCATACAACACCCAGTGCT